ATTCAGGTGCTCAGGCATGAAAATGTGCCGCTCAAACACTATACTTTTCTGCTCACACTGAAAAAAAATTAGAGGGAACATTGCATTGCACTCATTCTTAATGGCAGTCTGGGGAATCTTGAATATGCAAATGATATTGAACATCCCCACAAAACCAGTAACAAGGAGCACTTTTTGGCTGGTAAATCAATGTGCCTCTCGACCTAGAGGTGAGAAATTAGCCTAAATTCTCTAAATAGAGATTAAGTATAATTAATGAACAGTTAAAATTATTACTTTCTGTTTAATAGTTGTCTCTTCTGGGACACTAAACATTGTATTTGGAGGGCTCTTAAAGGCAGACCCTCCCTAATAGTTCACCTAGCATATAGTAGATTGAAATAACAGAATCTTCAGTCTGTCAAGATTTCATCTGGAAGTGTTAAATAATAACAGTCTCAGCTTGGAAGAATGCCATTCTTGGTTTTGAGCCTGACAGTAATGAAGTATTTCTAGAGAAGTGAAATCTCCAGGTTTCACCAGACGTTTTAAACTTTTAACCTCCTTCTCAGGATCTCCAGATGAATAAGTAGAAACTCCGCCATATCAAAATAAGAAGCCATTTTATACTTAGGCTGTGAGGCTGACTGTGTACCGCAGAGTCAATGCCTTCCATTTGAGCACCGATGAAATCCAGAGACACGGTCAAGCTCTTGATCTAACAGAGATCGGTCTCTCATTTGACTAAGGACACGTTACATTCCTTCTCTACTTCACCAGGTCCATGTCTTGGGGCACATGATGCCCTCTTACCTCTGAGGATCCAGCTCCTAAATCTCAAGAGACTTGACTACAGCTACCTTTGTCATCTACTATGGCTAAACAAGATTCTTTTAGGAACCTGATTCCCTTTTTGTTTGAAGTGCAACTATCCTTTCATTGGTAAAGATATTAAATGTATGGCTACAAATGTGAAATATTACAGATCAATTGATGAACTGTTAAGGGTCATGAGACTCCCAATTGGATTGCCACCTGGAACCACATAAGGTAAAAATGATTTGTATACCATCTTACAGATAGTAAAGTCCCCTTTATCTCCTCCTTTACCTTCTCTCCCACCTTCTCACCTCACACATAATCTTGATATGGGTAACTTTGAGTCGTTCTTGGCTGTGGGCTCCAGTAGCATCAGTCCTAGGTTTAGGCTGGTCAGTTAGGACAGACAGCACAAAATCACCAGGCTTGCTAAGGCTCTCACGCACTAAGAAGGTCCACGGTGCAGTCTTGGCTTGGAGTAAAGCCTCAGCTGCTGGGCCAGAAAGATGTCCATGGTACCACCTGAGGAAGAAGAGAGGTGAAATAAATAACAAATTTGTAGAGTGGCTACAAAATAAAAGTGACTGGAATGTAATTAGACTAATGGAAAATTTGGATCATGACCAAGAAGGGACAGAGGGGAAAAACAATTATTAAAAAAGCTACATGAATCAACATAAAGATATTAAGTTTTGTTTTTGCTTTATGTAAATAATGAAACACATCTAGCCATAATTCTTATTTGTACTGATTATTTTCCTCCCTGATAGGTTAAATGTGCATGCATAGATTTTAAAATATTAATAAAGGCCAATTTTGTTTTTGTTCTATGTATGTTTTTGTCTGCTTTACCATTTAGCATTCAGCAAATTCATCCTAACATTTTTTACTCAGATCTCAATAAATTAAAAAAATGAAAAACAGCCTGTCTGTGAAAAAGCAGAAAAAAACTGTTATTACAGGAAAAGGAATCAAGGCAGCAAGTGCTAAGGACATCATAAACTAAGTGGAGAAAATAAAACAATGTGATTTACCCAAAGTTACCATATTTTTTGGACTATAAGATGCACCGGAGTATAAGACGCATCAAGATTTCGAAAAGGTAAACAAGAAAAAAAGTTTTTGCCCTCCCCAGCCCCCAGGAGCACTCTGCAAGCCTCCCAAACCTTCTGCACATCTTGTTTTATGCAAAAATGGGGCACACAGAGGGTTTGGGAGGCCTACAGAGTGCTCCTGGGGCTGGAGAGGGCAAAACCGCAACACATGGGGGGTTTGGGAGGTTAAAAACTGGGCTCTGTTTCACCTGTTTTTGCAAAAACAGATCATGCAGAGGGTTTGGGAAGCTTGCAGAATGCTCCTGAGGGCTGGGGAGGGAAAAAATGCCCAGAAGCATTTTTCACTTCCCAACCCCCACCCCAACATCGCTTTTGCCTTTCCCAGCCCCTAGGAGTACTCTGCAGGCCTCCCTAACCAGTGGTGGGTTTCAATTTTTTTAGAACCTATTCTATAAGTGTGGTCTGTTTTGTGGGAGTGGCTNGGGTTCCCCCACCTCCTCACCTTTCAGGAAGGAGCGGGTCACCCTAAACAGGGCGGCTGGGCGAGATTCCGCGGACGCAATAAGAGCGGAAAAATGCGTGCATTTTGCCACCCGTATCGCCACTGGGTAAGTCCTAATAAAAGCTCTTAATAGTGTTCGATCAGATTCAGAGTTACTAGTCCTCCAACGTCGCTTTAGGCGTCTCTTTTGGTGCTTCATCTCCCGGAGTTCCTCGGTATTTATTACTAAAGCTCATTGATATAGGTCTGGTAGGTCAGAAACAGAAAATGCATCTCAGATATGTTCTAATATGTATCAAGCTAAAATTTGGTTCAGTTGTCTTGCATATAGAAGACCATTGGCGGAGCAATCAAAACTTTCATATTTATTTTTGCCTATTATTTTACTTTTGTTTTTGGTTTATAAATAAGTTAAATAATTGTACTCTGCTACAGTGCTTTCAGCTTTATGTTGTCCTGGATAAGTTCCTAGAACCATAGAGCTGCAAAAAAAAATGAATCAGCCAGAAGTACAGGTGTTCATGAAATACAGAAGTGACTTCTGTCACCTTATTAGAAAAATAATATTCTTAATTCATTTACTGTATTTTTCGGAGTATAAGACATGCCAAAGTATAAGACGCACCAAGATTTTGAAGAGGCAAATTTTTTTAAAAAAGGTTTTGCACTCTGCAGATCTCCCAAAAACAGACCGCTTTTCATGAAAATGGGCCCATTTTTTGTCAAAAAAAGAGCATGCATAGCCTTTAGGAGGCTTATGGAGCGCTCCTGAAGGCTGGGGGGGGGCAAAAATGAGTAAAAAATGGCCCATATTTTGCTCATTTTTGCCCTCCCCAGCCCCCAGGAGCACTCTGAAAGTCTCCTAAAGGCTATGCACGGCCATTTTTGCAAAGAGGGCGAGAGTTTGGGAGGTCAAAAATGCTGTATTCAGTGTATAAGATGCACCCAGATTTTCACCCTCTTTTTTGAGGGAAAAGGGTGTGTCTTACACTCCGAAAAATACGATACTTACCCCTAAAGCAATCTCAACTGGTTTAAATAGGCTTTTAGCCACATTTAAAGAAAAAGAACTGCAGTACAGTTTTACCATATTACCCACATTTAGTTACTTTCTGATTTACAGGTAGTTAATTGCACACACACACATGCACACACATAGTGTGAACTGTTGCTTTTGAGTAAACTGGCTGCGTTGATTTAGCCAGCACATTAAAATCTGATGCCGATATAAAAAAATATGTGACCCAGCATATTGGACCCTATAGGAGTCCTGTCTTAATTCACAGACCTAGCATCCATCATTAAAAGTGGATAGTTGATAATATATTCATAATGCACAATGCATTTTACAAAGTAATTTGTCAACTGCCTACACATATCTTGATTAATTAGATGTCAAATATGCTAATGAAACATTTGCTTTTAATGGTCTTTTAGCTGTGATGTATTATTACAATAGGGAATGAAAAACAGATTTCAATATACTTTCTAGACTGTTCTAAAGTAACTGCTCCCAAGCTTAAATTATATTGTTGTTATTATTATATTGAAATGATTCCACTCTTTTTAAAGACACTATAGGAAATGTTGAAATCTATAAATAAAGACATGGTTGAATACTGTTCTTAAACTGTTACCTCAAATGTGGTCATTTCTGCAGCATGTTGACCTGGAAAGGCATATAAATCTAATAAACCTAACCTAACCTAAGATGCTTCAGTCAGTCCACAATACGACAACTATGATTTTACAAGCTCTAAAAAGATCAGGGCTTTATAACTGCTCTTATTCATGACACATTGATTACCAGTTTGCTTATGGATATCGTGGAAGGTACTAAGCAACTGGGGTCAAATTAATTAAAGATTAGCTGCTCCTGAAAAACTCTGCCTATTCTGTATAAAAAGCTGGAATGCTTGCATTCAAGCTTGTCTGATATCCATTCAAAGTGAATCTTCTTGATAACCGCTCACTTCTACTGCAGAAGACTTCCTCTGGTTCTTAACATCCCACTTTCACCCAGTTTTATTTAGTTCATTTTTTAATTGATTCTGTGTCCAACTTTTCTGGATTCAGGTTTTAGCTGCTGCATGCATTATATTTAATATTAGTTTTAAAGAACAGGTTTATTTTTAAATGTTGCTTTGAATTATTTTTGCTAGTAGTTTTGAATATTTTCAGCTGATATCACTGTTGCAGTATGATATGAGTAACAGCATTTATGTAGGCTACAGCATTTTAACGGCTTCTAGTTTATTTTGGCATGATTCTTATACAATGATGAAATCAGTTTTGATTTCTAAATACAGCGTCCTTCGGCTGGATCAGAGCAGGAAGCAAAACAATCGGAGCCAAGGCAAAATGCAGGAGTCATGAAATTGGGAGAGGTTCTCAGAAAGGTTATGTTTACTAGCTTAAATTACTGGAATATGACAAACTAGAGTCACATTGTAATGTTTGCCACTTTCTGAGGAAAAAGTAATTGTGGATGGAGATTTACAATTAAGATTTTGAGTTTACAACAGAGGTGGTATTCANCAAGAAAGCCCTGTGCAGTGTAGGAGAGCTGGAGCTCTTCCCTCCCTGCACCCAACCAGCTGCTGCTGCTCCCCATTCCCCTCTTTCCTGAGCCAACATGAAGGGGACTGCGGCTTGCGCTGATCTGAGTCTGGCGCTGAGGAATCTCCTGCGCAGCGTGGCTCCCCTGCACTGCATAGCCAGTTATACACCTCACTGCACAGTGGCGACAGCAGAAGGAGAGTCGTTATCCCCTCCGCCTTGATCCTGGCCCAGGAGGGCATTTTACATGTGCGTGCGCACGCGCAAAACATAAGCACAAGAAAAGTACTGGAGCTCTTCCTGACACTGAGTTGCCTGCAAAGGATGCGGAATTGCAAAAGCAGGCAAGAGGCTCATGCCTTCTCAGGGCGGAGAGCAGATTGCGTGATTGGGTCAGCAGGGAGCCGTAGGAGAGGGGCCAGAGGGAGCTGCATGTGGCTCACGAGATGCGGTTTGCCGACCAGTTCTTTCTTCTTCTGGTTGTTCGGCAGCATGGTGAGGATGGGGGGGGGGAGTGAAAGAGCGAACGAGCGAACGAGGGGAGGGAGCGTTCTGGTATGGGGCCTCCTGACCAACAGGTACAGGAAGGCACACTAAATTTCACCATCCGGTACAGCCGTACTGGTCCATACCGGTTGAAACCCACCCCTGTCCCAAACCCTCTGCGTGCCCCGTTTTTGTGATGAACAGGCCTGTTTTGGGTGAAAACGGGATGTGCGGGGCAAGGTTTCCAGAGGCCAAAAATGGTTGTATTCAGTGTATAAGATGCACCAACATTTCTATACTCTTGTACTCTGAAAAGTATGGTAATTTGGGGGTAATGTAGGTAATGGCAGGGATCCAGTTCATTTTTAAAAATCAGCTCAGTTTAACAGTGAGGAAAAAGCTCTCCAATGGGATTTGCCACCATTTTGTACAGCAGTATAGCTAGTCCTTGACTTGCAACCATAATTGAACCTAAAATTTCTATTACTAAGCAAGGCAGTTGTTAAGTGACTTTTACCCCATTTTAACAACGCTTTTTTACACAGTAGTTAAGCAAATCACTGTAGTTGCTAAATAAACCATGTGGTCATTAAGTGAATCTGGCTTCCCCCTTATTGAATGCTTGTCCGAAGCCGGCTGGGAAGGTTTCAAATGGTGATCACATGAGCCTGGGGGATGCTGCAACAGATCCAAGTGTGAAAGCCGATCATGAACCGCTTTTTTTCAGTACCATTGTAACTTTGGTCACTAAATGAATGGTTGTAAGTTGAGGACTACCTGTATTGTATCTCAATGTTTTTCAGAGACTTGGAACTTAGCCTAGAACTATCAAGATGGGATCAGTGGGGAAATCTAATTTTTTTTACTACCAGTTCTGTGGGCGTGGCTTGGTGGGGTCATGTGACTGGGTGGGCGTGGCT